AACTGTCCTCTGTTAGTATCTAAATCTTTACTGGGCTGGATAATGTTTCAATGGCCACATAGAACTCGGACGGCACTTAAAATTATGGGGTTTACTAGGGAAATAACTGGTTCACAAATGACTTGGTGGGGAAAAGAAAACAAAAATGACTTGGATATAGTTCTTTGGTCTGTATAGCTTCTTTTGAGCTCCTTGTGGCCCCAAGGGCCCAGGAATGCTTGGGTTCATGTTATGAAGCTTTTTAGCTCTGCCAGTAAGTGCCCAGAGGCATCCCACTCTGCCTCTATGCCTCCTGATGGAAGGCATTCACTTGGCTTTCTTGGGCTCTGGGCCAGGAAGCTCACAGTGCTGTCTCCTGGTTCTGCTGTCCTGTTGCCAGTATCCCTATTGCTGCTTTTTGCTCTCTTGAAATCTCTGGTCTTATAATTTTCTGGTACCTTGGTCTAAGAGGTTCCCAATGCAGAGTCCCTGGGTCCAAAGGGTATGCCCCATTCCTGGCTCTTCTTTTCTTGTTGCTCATAAAGCCTCCTTTCTGCTTCTGAGATTACTCATTTTATGCCCAGTGGGATAGCAAAACTGACCAATTCCCTCATTAGGGTTCTGCACTTTATTTGCATGGTTTCAACCAATCTTTTGGTGGGAGTGTGAGTTACAAGATCATGTCTAAAAAGGCCATATAAATCATGCAGTGTGTGTGTGTGTGTATGTGTGTGTGGTAGGTGGATAGATTTGTTTGAAGCAGAGCACAAACCTTTAATTCTGTTTAAAAAAACCCCAAATAACCCACACTGTATGTGAAGCCAATTAGATGAGGAATGCCTGTATAGAAAAAGAATTAGAAAGAAACACAACAAGATGGAAGATGACATTCTTGGCAATTTTTAAAAACAGCTTTATTGATACATAATTTTACATACCATAAAATTCACTCATTGTATATGTACAGCTTAAGTACTTAATTTATACAGTGGTGCAATCATCACTGCAATCCAGTATTATGGGGAATTTTTGTGTTCTCTTTATTTTAAGAGAAGATTTACTCTTTGAAAATAACTTTCATTGAATATTGGCTGGAGTTGAACTGGGTTACCACTAAAATTACATCTGACTCCTCACCTTAAAGGGTGGTGCAATGGGTTACACGCTGGGCTGCTTACAAGTTCAGCA